AATAAAAGGTGCCAGAACAGAATAAAAACCGAAGTATCTCTGTTCATCATACTCACGGACCCCATGCTATTGAACCAAGGTCACACAAAACTAGAAGTCGAGCCCGTGTTTCTCCAGCCCCTCCACTGCCTTCGCTACGCCCTGCCAGCACGCCCGCTCCTCATCCTCCACCTCGCTTCGTCATTGCTGAAGCTCAGCACCAGCAGCCGGAGTGACCTCACCTGCAGAGGAGCTTCCTCCCCTCACACAGACCTCAAACCCAGGCAACCAGAGTACAACGTAATCAACACAAAAAGGCCGAGAAAATTAACTTAAAAACGTTAAGTGAGAAGAACAAAGACTTTAGACGTGAGCTGGAAGACAAATTGCGCCCAGAGGAGAAGGCGGCGTGGGCAGTTAGGTGCAAAGGCGCTGTGTTTACAGAGGTTGCGACGCAGAGGAGATGGCAGGCGAGATATTGATTTGATAAGCAGATGAGCTGAAATTCTGAACGCACTGGAGATGCTGATAGAAAAAACAGGATAGAGGGAGAGACAGGGGAACGCAGGAGAAACAGCTGTGTACACTGAGATGCATGAGATGTTATGGAAAATAGAAGGTCATCATGATCCACGAAATTCTCAAAAGAAATAGGAGAAGTGGAGATCGCAGGGAGACAGCAGATGTTTTCATGCCAAGACAATGATGGAACCGTAATTACAGCGAGATAGAGCATCCTGCATAGTCACAGCAACAAAGAAACAAAACAAAACCCCAAACCAGACACGTTTGATTGGCAACTGGAAAAGACTACAGAAAGGTAATAAGCATTTAGCCCTTCTATTACACACAAGTCAGAAGAGTGAGAGAGGGCACCTCTCCACTGCAGGGCGAGAGCCCTGACCAGGAGGTCAAGCTGCTGATGAGAACCCAGGGGCTCACCTGCATCTTTCACGCGAGCTACAGCTGAAGCCAGGAGCAGTTTTCTCTCCCTGTTTTCAATACTGGGGGCTCCCAACACACGAGGACAGAGGCAGGGACGTGTCCCAGACAGCATTACCCCATGGACTCGAGGTCAGAGCCCAAGCAGTGGCACAGCCAGAGGCAGCAGGGGCTTGTGTACCGCAGGGGCTCCATCCCCTCTCCGCCGCCACGGCTCCTACCTGGCAGGGCTGCCTTCGTGGCATTTCCTCCCTTCCTTCTCAAGTTAAGTCCAGGCAGATCATTTGCAGCCAAAACTCCGATGGTTTGGTACAGACACGAACCACCTGAGCACCATTCCTGCCATCAGCCCCCGTCCGTGTGGGCTCTGCAGCACGAGGCCTCACCCGGCGCTCACTCCCCTCCATCCTCCTCAGAGCAGTGCCCGTGTCCCCGGCTGGGGGACAGCACCGCTGCCTTTGTGCTCCATGGGACTGTGCCCTGGTGATCTCTGATCTCTGTCCACGCCCCAAGGCCCTGAGGCCGGCTTTCCCTGCGTGTACCTGGGGCAGCACGGTGCAGAGACTGGGAGAGGTGGCGCTTGGTCAAGGAAAGCAGTCAGGGACGGCAGCCTGTGCCTCGTCAGCCTCCCTGTGATTCTTCTCTGCCTTCTTCCTCAAAGACGAGAAGAGCCGTGCAGTTATTTTTGTCAGGTCTTCAAAAAAATAAAGTTACAGTTGTGGTACATGGCACCTTAGCTTGCCCACAGGCTCCCGAGAGTGCAATTTTTGCCTGTGTAAAATTAATTATATATATTCAGCATGTGCTCAGTCTCTAAAATACAAAAGGGCTTAGAAATATGAAAATAAAGCTCGAATTTGTTGCTAATTAAGCAAAATAACACCTCCATGCGCTGTATTTGCAGCATCTGAAGAGGAACGTTTCCTCCAGGCTCGTTCATACTTGTCAGGCCGGCCCCTCTTTTATTTATTTATTTATTTATTTAAGTGCACCGAGCTGTGTTTCCAGCTCCCTCAGCCTCGGGTCCGCCTTTCAGTGCCGGCTCGCCTCAGGCTGGCCGGGTTTGGGGGCAGAACAAAGCCGGGCAGCGGCCCCGGGGCAGGGCGGCGAGGCCGGGCCAGGAGGGGCCAGGCCAGGCCCGGCCGGTGCTTGGGCGCCCTCTGCTGCCCCGGGGCTCCGCGAGGCCCTTCCCCGCCGTGGGGCCTTCGCGGCCCGGCTGGGGCTGGAAGGGACCCCGCAGGCCCAGGGATGGCCCCTGGGGACTTGAGCAGGGGACCCCCGGAGCTGGCTGAGGCGCCTCACGCTTCCCGGGAGCCGAGCATGGCAGCAGCACCAAGCCTCCGGCCCCGGGCAGGACGGGGCCAGAACTGGAGCCCCGGGGTGTGAGCGGGGTGGTTGGCATTGCTGTCTGTAAACACAAGCGAGGAGCAGCTCCTGAGGGCCAGAATAAGGGCTTTGATGCCTCAGACATACAGTCCTCTAGACCCAGACAACACCTAGGAAAGAAACCCAGCTCCACAAATTACTTTGAAAGTGCCATTTTCCAGAAACGAGAGCACCCTCCTGGAACAGCCTCAAACGTCACTTCAGCATCCTTGAATCCAAACAGCAGAGTTCAGGCATACTTTAAAAAAAAAAAAAAAAAAAGTCACCCACCCACAGCTCTGGAGCTGGGACAGGCACTGAGCAGAGGGGGAGCCCCTTCAATCCGAGCCCCCTGTCCCAGGGGAAGGACCCTGAGGCCGCACCACAGCCAGCGCCGCTCAGTGCCAGCACTCTGACATCCCGGGGGCTGAGGGGACCAAAGCTGATGTTGTAAAACGCCTGACCACGTTTTTAGGCATGAAAACATACTCCTAAGACTTTGCAGCAGCTCTTCCATTCCTGATTCAGCAAAAGGAGGAAAGACTCTGGTGTGTGTTCATCTCCCAAAGGCCAGTGTAGAGCTAGAAAAGGTGCAGGGAGGATGCACGGTACCTCCAGCTTCCACGTAAGGAGCTAAATGGACTTCAGATGCCTCATCCCAGAACACAAGCAGGTGACAGAAGAGAAGTCTATGAGCCTGCAAGTGGCATAGATAAGGCAAAGCAGGGGCCATTACTCACCTGAGGCAGCATCAGGGTGATGGATTATCTGGGGTTGTTCTCAGGCAATTTAGAAAACAAACAGGAAGTAATTCTTTCACCCACACGTAATTATGTTGGGAGACACATTGCCACAGGATCTCGTGAAGGTCAGAAGGACAAACAGACTCAAAAAGCCATCACACTGAATTCAACACGTCTGTTAAGTACAACAGCTGCGTGGGGCTCAGAAGCCCCAGCATCACTCCTAGCTGGAAATGGGGCCAGCCCCCAGGGCAGGACAGCTCTGCAGGAGATCCCGCTTCTGCACCTTGTACCTGAATTACACGGGCAGGCACCAGACCGACCTTCATCCCCATCCCCTGTCAGGGCCAGTCTTGGACCACAGAGCCCCAGAGCACTGGCTCATCCCTCTTACACCAGCCCCAAGCGCAATCTGGCTGCTTTGTGCAAAGTGTGGGGAGAATATCTCCCCTCTCGCTTTGCTTTGGTGCTCGTCTTTTCTTTTGACAGGAAGGGGGAGGAGGCAGAGGTAGCTGGAGCCAAAACCCAGCCCTGGAGGCACTGAACTAAATGCAGGACACATGTTGGTGGTTCTTGCTCTGTGGCCTCTGACTTGCAGGCTTCCTACTGACAGCACCGAGACAGGGACACAAGGTATTTGTGTAACTCAAGAGCAGAGAAACTCATAGCAAAATTTATTTTTACTTTTTATAGGAAGAAAACCACTGCCAATGAAATTTCCACCACCAAAGGCCAGAGCCAGGTTCCCTGCTGGGCTGTGAGCAGGCTGCATACGTGGCTATGAGAGGCAGGGAGCTGAACCACCCCATGTCAGCACTGCCAGCAGCAGACAGGGGCACCATTCATTACACTCCATCTGCTCCAAAAACACCCTCTTTGCTCCTCCCCTCCTTGCTCTTTAAGAAGTCTTTGACTCACTGTGCTGCAGGAAAAGCAGCCCTGTGCCCCCTGAGGACCTGGCCCAGGCACTGCTCAGCTGCCCTGGTGTGGAGGGGACAGGGACAGAGGCCATGGGGGGAGGCCTCATGGAAAGCAGCCCCCAGGCTGCCAGGGGTCAGAAGAGCAAGGTCTGGGCTGACACGAGGCCACACAGCAGAGGAAAGCAGGAGCACAGCTTTGGGCTGGGAGGCAGGAAGCACTCCAGACGGAAGTTATAAATTAGGCATCTCCAGAGACCTCATTCATTTTACCCATAATAAAATTACCACTTTTCAAAGGGGAAAGCCCCTTTGAATGACTTCAAAGTAAGCCCACGGGAAGGCTCAGCTCAGATGCACGCATGCTCAGCCCCTGGTTTGCAGCCAAGAAGAACAGGGGCACTTCAGGGATGGGGCTGGTTCCCTGAACAACTGTGTGCACATGCACCTATCTACAGACGATAAAGGCAATACTCTGAGTTTAACATGCTTTGTTCTGTGCAATCCTAGATAAATCAGTCCATTCAATGCCTTAATTTCTCATCCATCCATGAAGTGTAGATACATCCTACTGAGAGAGACATTACCAACTGCAAGGTGCTCCAGTACCAGGGTAAGGACAAACTGTTTACTGGGACACCAACTCACATCATTGCACCCTGGCTTAAACAAGGAACTTATCAATACTTTAAAGAGAGGGTTTTATTGCTTATACAGTAGGAAGACTCCCATGTTTTGCTTTTTAACACACAAGTGTAACCAAGGGGCTTCCCAAGTCCACAGGGTAAATTAAAGCTGTTTTATATATGGTGGAATTGAGTACCAGTGCTCAGGGTAAGGCTTTCTAGTAAGTAATTCATCATAACATTAAATCCAGTTTTCAGGTCCTTCACAAAGTTTGAAGTAAAATAAACTCTACGAGATCTGAAGCTTGACCTTTCTGTATCTGTTGAAAACCCATTGGGATCTTATCTCACCTGCTTATCCCACTAAGCTCCCTTCCCAACTCTGAATCACAAGAGGTCTGGAAATGAAGGCTCTTAGTCATCACAGGTTGATTAAGACAGCTTAAAATTCGAGCTTTAATTGAAATGGAAAATAAACATTCCGAAAGGATATATGTTTTATAGATTTAACTGAGTTACCAAATTTAGTTTTCATTGGACATTATTGCAAACATGAACATTAAATCATAAGCGCCAAATAGAGAACTCAAAAAAAGGATATAATCATACCATATCAGAAGGGATCGGACCAAATGCTTTTGTAGGCAGCTATCCAAACATATGATGTACTGATGCGTTAGCTCACAGGATGTAAAGGCATCCTTGAATCCACCTGAAAAAGGTGGAGGCCTGACTACATCATTTTCCTGGCAAGTATCTTCTCCGCCAGCCATAAATCCCAGCTCAATACATATCTAAAATGATATACATTAGAGGGCATATGTTTAAGAGTATTAAGTCAGCTTAAATTACTCGAGCAAAATTTTAAGTTTGGGATAGAAATCTAAAAAGGAGCAAAAAAAATTGAGAGAACACCACTGCAATATTAATGCCAAATTGTTACTTTTTTTTTTTTAAAAAGAGATCTGTACAGTAACATAGCAAAGAATGCAGTGATCACAATTCAAACCAGACAGCAATTTAAGGGAATGCTAATCCTGTATACAGCAGAGCAGAAACACTCCCCCATTCGGATGCTCCATATATGTTGGCTACCCTAATGCACTCCAAACCAGTTCTACCTACATAGGACATTTTGGTGTGAAAAAAAGTTTCTGTAAAGTTCCCTTTGTTTCCAGTGTTTTTCTTGTACAAAATATTACAATGTTTTTATATATATTTACAGACTTGCACAGCTAGAAAAATACAAATTACAATTGGGCTTGGCAATCAGTTCTTTTCTTTAAATACATGATATTTCAAGAGCAAAATCATAGTGGTAGCATATCCTGCACTTCAAGCATCTGCACAGAGAAGCCTTCTTCGTTAAGCATATCAAGCATAAAAAACATGACTGCAGTGAGACATGTGCCACAGTAAGCGCAACAAATGCGATTCATCAACCTCCTGGCATCAAGAAGATACAAGATGAATGCAGTTTGTGCACATCAGTGGCATGATATAGAAAATCCATTACTGAATATTAATTTCCTTAATAACATTCATTAATTTCACAGGCAGAGCCTGTTAAAAGAAGGACAACCAATGTAACTTTTTGGAAAAGCAGACATCAGCTTCATGGGGTATTATACATCTTCAACAAGAATGCAATCACAGTTAATATTTCAGGGGCATTTGCTAACTTCAAGCAAGCCCCAGGGTTCTATGAGTTTTTTTCCATTCAATTTTTGAATAGAGGCCAGGGAGGATTTTTTGCTTTAAAGCTACAGTATCTCTCATTATGGCTTTTAAGACCCTGCCTTTCACTGAGATGAGGTATGTGTTTCTAGTGAAATGGTAACAGTTGAGCAAAACAAGTTTCAATGGACCACAAAACTCTGTATGCAGGTGTAAACAGATCTTCCTGTAAGAGGTTGCCAAACCGAATTGTAACAGTGCAAAACAGGATTTTTTTTTCCCTGTTAGGAAAAGGTTGTCGAGGCATCTAGGACATTGCTAGTAGTTGTCAACCCACTGAGCAAATCCTCTTTCCACCAGAGTTCTGTTTATCGACACCACCTGGAGGCAGAGGAAAAAAGAAGAAAGGTGAACAAACCACTAGCAAGAAACACCAAGTTCCTTATCAAGGAATGAGTCTGCACAACCATAAACTTGAACTATACTGAAAAAAGTGTGCCAACATACCTCATCTCCCATCATACTCCACAACTGTATTAGTGGCAGACCTGTTGCATTGTCATAATTTGTGACCTGGAAACAGAAAAACATTAGCGTGCAACAATTCTGGTTCCCTCCATGGGAGATGCAAGGCTAGCATCACCAAGTGATAGTCAGTACTTAAACCCAGGCAGCAGGTGTAAGAAATGTAGCCGTTGCCAACAGGCAGATGAGACACTCTGCTGGCAAGTTTGTTGCCCCATTTCTTCAAATCTGTAGCCTTGCTAGAATTAGTGATACATTTGAGAACTGCATTAAACCAAAGGAAGCTAAGGGATTGTCACAAATACTACCAGCTTCCCACTTGTCCTGGTTAGCTTAGTAAAATTATCAACAAGGCTTTTCTAGACAGCTCTCATGTACCTGCGCCAGTAGTGCTGCCCCTCTGGTCATCTCACTAACAGCGGCATCAGCTTCTGATGAAAAGTGATCCTCGTCTTTGGAAAGAAAAGAACAGGAGAAAACAAATTAGATATTCACAGCCTTTAAAGGCCAGAAGGCACTATTAAACTAATCTCGTCTGACCTTCCACATAAGTTAGGCCAGAGAATCCTCACCTACGGTTGCTGTAGGCACTTGCTGAAACCAGTCTATTAAGCTGGAGAACACAGAAGTATTATGCCTGCTGTGTTGCTGAGGGGACAGGATGAAGTGCTTTTTAAAGCCACTAGCCAAGTTAATGTGAATATAAGTGACTGATGAATTAGGAAGCTTTAAAAATAAAAGCAGTATTCTTCTGCAGTGCCTTTGAGCTGCCATTAATATTTTGAAGATTAATAAACTAAGGTCAGGGGCCTCAGGACTCCTCAGAACTTTCCTGACCTTGCACTGAGTGCAATACTATATGCAGAAAACTCAAATATTTGTCCCACAGGCTGGCTGGCACCTGACCAATGCCAAATGCATGCTCTGCAAGCACTGGAAGCCCAAATCTCACAACCTGCACAGCTGATGGTGGTGCTGCTGCTAACACCACACACATAATGCAGCAGGAAGCTCATGTCCCAGCCAACGAAGTGATTGGACACAGGACATAAGTGCTTTTATTTCAGACAAAAGCTGCTTATTTCCTATTAAATTGTTGAAAAATAAAAGTTTCACCTTTGTGGTCCCTGCCCTGAGATAATCTCCAGCAACAAGTGAACTCCCTACATCTCTGCAAATACTGAAGGAGGTAGATGGCCTCAGGCAATGTGTAAACCACTCACCTCACCTCTGCTAGCAGCAGCTTAAACCTTGCTATCTACAGTCTTGGCAGGGCCTGTACTAAAGTCCTGCCAGCCAGAAGCTCCAGTAATAAAACCCAGCCTGACCCCTAGCTTACCCCTTCTGCACCCTAGGAAGGCCATTTTTTAGATACTGATACAGTGAGAATCTTAAAAAAAAAAAAAAAAAAAAAAAAAAAAAAGCCCAACACCAGGAAACAGAAACCAACCAAAAATATAGAAAACATTTCTAGGCAGTGACTGACATTCCAGTGCTCAGAGGGCAGTCTTTTGAACACAGAATGTACACATCAGGCATTTCAGCAGGAAAATGTCAGGTATTTGTCTAGCAAATTAGAAATCAAGTTTGCATTTACAGTTACTCTACAGCAGAAGGCAGAGTAGTTACAGCTACTTAGTTACACTCTGCCAGACCTGCAAGCTTGCTGTTTGAGAGAGTAATTCATTCTCTCCTTCATACAGGAAAAAGCCTGGATATTTATGAACTTCCCCTTGAGTCAGACAGCTTGTGCCATACTAGCTGATTCAGAAGAAAAATATTTCTTCCAATCCTTGCTTGTCACCTCAAAGGCTGCACTTGCAATAGAAGAGAGAAAGTTTAGACCAAAGCACTGCTTGCATGTAGCAGGTATTCATTTAAGCCTGCAGGAGGAGTGCCAACAGTACCTCTCAAGAGCTCCATTACCTGGAAGTGGCACCACGTTGTCTAGTAAAACTTCTGCTCCTTGGAAAGGTAGTGTTACAAAATCAGACCTTAAAAGAGAAAGGAGTTAAGAACATACCTTTAAATTACTTCTATATTCTTTAAGGTGACATTGATTAATTACACTAACAGGAATTCAGTTTAAAATTGATGACAGTCCAAAACAATCAGACTGTTCTTCCACAAATCTGAACAGCAAGAAATTGTCTGATTACCACAAGAAATTGGATTGGGCTCCAACCAAAGATCACCTCCATAATGTAGGTTGTGCTTCTTACCCCCCAAGCCCCTGTGGGTTCTTCATAGGGCAATCGAGTATTTAACGGGCTGGTATACAGCTCTGACAGCCAGTGAGGGTGAGGCATACAGAACTTCAGTTTTATTCCTAACTCAATTACACCCTTGGGACTCCTGAAAGCATCCTTTTGCATCCATGTGCTGAAGGGGCAGAAGTTGCATGACTTTTTTTCAAGGGGAGAAGAGAAATTGCAGGAGCACAGTAAGCTCTTAAGAAATCCACGCCCTCTGCTGGGACAAGTCATACTAACACTTCCCACTTCAGCAGTGAAAAACCCTATTCAAACAACAGGGATGCCTCTGATGGAGTTTCAAGCCAGATATTGCCTCAGGCTACAGAAAAGGAGCTAGAGACCTGATTTGTCTGAGTGTGTCAATCTTCACTCTATCATATCCTCCATAGTCCACGTATCTGATCTCCACTTCGCTGCTCTCTTTGATGTAGCCAACAACTTGAGCCCGCCACCATGCCCCATCCAGGCCTGGAGCTGCGCAGATAATACCAACTGCAAAGCACAAGAGCACGGAGAGGGCTCAGCATTAGAAGACTTCCAGAAATCAGCACTTCACACGTTAGCAGTACTGCAGTTATCTACTGAGAATCAACAGCACTTCTTCCACTGCTTTTATCTTCTTTCAGCACCACCCACACCCCCATCAGATAAGGCCTACAGGTGAGACAGAGGTGGGTTTTAGTCTTAAGTCTCTGCCAACATGACGCTGTTCTATGCGGGTATACACCTCTGTCCCAGCCTTTGATCACCAGCAGCAAGGTCCGTCTCCAACAGTAAAGCAAGTGCTAATAACCCCTTCCATGTGATGCAGCTTCTGCTTTACACTGCATCCCAACAGCTGCATGATAGATTCAGAAGCAGTTCTACATTGTTAGCAAAAACATACCAGACACTAAGTTAATTAGAAAGAAACTGAGACGGATCTGATCTCATTCTGAATTTCAACATGCAACTAAGTGGCCTGGGACGCACTCCAGTGATGAGTGGCATAAGAAAGTAAAGCAACATCTGTACTCTGACAACAGCTTGAGAAGCCATGAAATGACAAGTGAAATATTCTCATCTACTGAGAGACTTCCCAAACCTAACCCAGGAGCATTGGGCTTTTGTATGACTTCAGAGGAAGCCTCAACTAAACAACTTGTGAGCAGCCAAGTTACTTGCCTTCTACAGGTGTTGGCAGGGTTGGAATTCCAGGTTGAGAATAGCAGACATACATCTGCTGGTCCAGGCTACGCAGGACATGGAAAGTGGGGTGCGTATGTTGCTGTAGAAACATGTGTCCTGCATTGACTTGGTTAGCCACAACCACTTCTACAGTGACTCCATCTGGGAGCATCAACTGCCACAGGGAGGAGAAAAATACTCATTAGTGTTTATTACAACACAAGCTTCAGTCACATTAGACACTCAGAGCAACTCCTTGTTCCACCACCAACTCCTGAGGCTGACAGACACCAGTGGGAAAGCACTAATACTGATGATAATTCACTTCCAAAGGCTGCTTTGGATCAGGACCAGGAAGTACTCAGTGTGCTCAGTACTATGCTGTAGTACAGGAAGTCAGATTTAGGGAAGGGCCCATCTTGTATACAAAAAGACTATCAGCACAGAGCAGCTGTAGGACTTATTTACCCAAAAGATCAGTGAGCAGAATTAGCAATGATGCAAGTCATGTCACATTGCACTATCAACACAGTACAACTTGCCTTACCCACAGAGCTTTTAACACCAAGGTAATCTCTGTGGGAGCTTTAGATCCATGGAGACAGTTATGTGCAGTTACTATATACATTTTAAATGTCCAATGCAAGCAAAAGAGTGTTTCTAAGCATCTATACAGCACAAGAAGCATGAGAACTCCTCTGGAACACTAATGTGAAAGCCTTCTCTAAGTGCAATTAGATACCATTAGAAAGTAAAACATTTTGAGAAGACTAGCTTCAAGATTTAGGGCAGTGTCAGTAATGACAACACAGCAGTGTGACATTTTGATCTCTCAGCAAGTGCCCCTAAGCAGAAGGGGCAGGCAATCTAATCAGCTCCAACCTGAAGTGGTATTTCCTCAGGCAAACCCCTAGTCTGGAGGACAAAGCCTACTAGGTCAGATGCACAATTACATGACATTAACCCCAGCCTGGTAGAACATTCATCTACATCTACATTCAGCTGCATCTCCCAGTTCTATTTCCATTCTACGTGTAGCAGAACAGCAGGCAGCTAATCTCATCTGTAGCAGTTACGCAAGCTGGACAACAGGTAACCACACAGATGCAAAGGTGTTTTGAGGGAAACCTGTGAACCAGCATGTTGTTACTGGTAAAGGGCCACGTGGACATGGCATGCTATGAATGGCCGTGACCAACAGCAGCCTTCCACCCTGACACCAGGCCATGCAGCAAGCTGAGGCTTACCCAGGAAGTCATAGGGAGGGAATGAAGCGTCAGCGATGGTGGAGGTGGAGCATAGATGTTGGTAAGACTTAGCTCTTTGAACTTCTTGCCAATAAGGCTCAGTGCTTTTTCTACATCATGCTGGGAACCTGGAAGACAAAAATCCAGTAGAAGATCTGTTACAGAAATATACTGGGGACACATGCCCTATGAGAAGCTAGGGAACACTACAAGAAACCTTCTGGGCCACACCAACAATTTGCAGAAAAAAAAAAGCAGAAAAGTTTTATAAAGCACCAGACTCAGACTGTACAACTGTTCTGAAACCCTTGCCCATCTAATTACAACCAACAAGCTGGGTATAAGACTGAACAGAGAAATCTCACCTTCAATGTGACAGATCTGGAAGTCATGGGAATAAGGTAGTGTTGAGATATAAATTTTGGCACCAGATGTTTGCTTCAAGAAGCTCACGTACCTCCCTTGTTTGCCAATCAAGCGGCCAACTAAATGCTTCATGGAAGAGAAAAGAAAAACTGTCAGGAAGAGAAATACAAATCAAGTAACACTCTCCATGCCTTATTTCACCCACATTCCCAGTTCCTGCAAAGAGCCAGGCAGGATGAACACAAGGTAATACCATCCCAATGCAGACTTCAGTTGGTCTGTGATAAGTCAAGGCAGATACAGATCAGTAAGTGCAGCTCATTTTAACAGATTTATCTTTATATCTTGCAGAAGAACATAAAACCCAAACAGAACAAAATCAGGCCCAGTAAATGCTACTGTCTTCCCACGGCCAGTGAAATCACATCCTCTCCCAGTCTGGACTTCTCTTTTAAAGGTTAAAGGAAGGAAAACATGCTATATTCATCTTTCATTCAAAATATATACTATGCTGCAGCAATTTTAAAGCAAGCTAATTAGCTTGGTTTACTCCCTTTCTAATCTATCATGCCTATTAGGCTACATAGCCCTGGGGCAGCTTTGCAGGGTGCACTCAAGGCAGCAGCACATTTATCCTACCAGGAGATGCAGTTTCGCTTTACTGATCATCAGCATCCAGATCTGCTGAGGAGCTGAACTGCAAGAGCAATGACACGTCTGGCAGCCATGAGCAGTTTTGCATAAAGTTGGAAAGAAGGGATGAACACAGCCCTAAGAACACATCCTCTCTCTTTATAATGACCCAAAAGAAATCTCATTATGAAGATGGAGATGCAAGCAGCTCCATAGAATAGCTCAAATCAGCATTCAGCTTGTGAGGAGGAGTTTAGACAAGCAGTTGAAACATCCCTCCTACATAGCAGGGAAAAAAAATCTCTCTAAATGGGGAGTAATGAGTTTAACACCCGGTGTTACCCTGGGCATAGCCCTTACATGCCTCTTCTTTACAGCAGTGCACAGCCTCTTCACTCCTGTTGAGTTGTAACAGGAGCTAAATGCTTAAATCCTTGTTTATTTGTTGATCTCCTTGAGATTGCATTGAGCCACTACCAGACTGCAAGAACCAGATCACTATGTAGGGCAGGGCGAGAAGCACGATGGGCTGGTGCCTGGTTACCTTTGGAACCTCGATTTCCCAGATAGTGAGGTCAGACTTGCTGGATTCTCCTCCTGGCTTAGAGTTCTGGCGAGTTGCTGTCTTCCCCAGGGCACAGCCACTGTCCACAGAATCCATGCTATTTACATCCGAACCTACAAAACACAGGCACCTATCAGCACTCAGATAACCCACACAATTAACCCAGCCACCATACACAAGGCCATGAAAATATATCATTTAATACAAAGGTTAGGTTGAGCTTTTCCCATGGATTCATGCAGGACGTTCCTGTACCAAGCTGCAGCATTTCAGTAAGAGTCAAGCCCTATCACGCAGTTTACTAGGAGTTTCCTTTTGTTCCCAGAGGAAATCCTGAACACCTCTGGGAGTGCAACAGAAGGAAATTCAGTTTCAGCAGGAGCCTTTCAAACAGTGACACCTTAGACAGCAGAGAGACAAGACACTAAAAGTCAGTGTTACCAACTGAACGGGAGCTCTAACATCAGCACAGAGCTGCTGCTCTAGAAGGATATTTTGCATTTTCTGCATGGCTTACACAGGGCTCATCACAGGAGTTCAGCACACCAGGAGGAGGGCACAGAATGCTCATCTGCTTACCGCGCTGACATCACATTCCTGCCCAAACAGGGGCTGCACGGGGACTTAAGAGTGTCAGCTGTGCTCATAATTTGCCTCTTGCCCAAACTTCTCATATGCTTGAGGAAACAAGGAACCTGAATTGATCTATGGTTTGTTCACAAACCATCAGTCAATATCAAGGTGGTTTCCACTTGGGAAGGAGAAGAACTAAAACAGCTTCCTCCTGCTCAGCATATCACAAGACTGGTCCTTCCTCCAGATAAACAGGCAGGAACACAAAGATCATCTCCTCCTTGTAGGTATTCAAACCATTCCAACATAAGACCAAAAAGAAAAAAAATCCAATAGCTGCTTTTCTACATCTTAGCTAGCAATACAGCACAGATGCCTAGAAAGTCAAAGGCAAACAGTGCAGCTGTTTGCCACAGCCCTTCTAGACAAGGAGGAGGATTTGAGTCTCAGAGCTGGGTGTGAAGGTCAGCTGTAGGACCTCTTATCCAACACAGACACATCAGCAACTTTACCTGTGATATCCCCTCTCCCCTAGCCTTCAGCTGTCTCAGCACAGACCTTTTAGCCCCCGTCATCACCAGGCTGCACAGCACATTCCCATCGCACCAGCATTCACAGCAAGACAAAACTATTTTCTTCCTATAGTTACTCTCACTAGTCACAACACTTTGTGGGTTTAATCCTTAGTTTTTGGCAAACTCAGTCCATGTCTTACAACAAGCAGGATCCCCACTACTTTGCAGCAATTACAAAGGCATCCTGTCATTAAGGGCTGTTGGCACCACAGGGTCCTATAAAGGATTTTAACATCCATCCCCAAGGTCACATGGGTCAACATTTGCTCAGACACCTTTGTATTCTGCCAGGCACACATCATCCAGGATCTAGAAGGCAAAAACAATAGAGACAGATGGAGGAACTCTGTGAGCATCACTGCCTGTTGAGATTACTTGGCGTACACCTACCCTTCCAAGGGAGAACAGGCTCCAGGGTAATTGGTCTGCAATCAACTGATTTTATCATGATTTATTAGAGTACTTCTTGGGTTCATGCAGCAGCACCCCAGAAGGCCCCACACAAGAAGAGATTAGATCCCAATGCTTATTAGAAGCTGTCTGATCCAAAGCAGAAATTTGCATTAGCAGGTCTCAAACCCATAAGATGTTCACCAGCCTGACCTATGCCCAGACACACTGCAGTTCACTGGGCTGCTCAAGCACATGCTTCACTTTCAGCAATAAGTTTGTGCTGAATGGGAACCAGCCCGTTCACATATGCTGAACATCACCGAGCTAACACCAGGTACTACAGAGATGGGAATTCTGACAGCAGATGCTCAGAGTAGTTATACCCACCTGAACAGGGGCTTAAAAATTTATCTGCTGGGAAAGAGTTAAACACGAAGAGGATTCATCTGAATATGGTAGTGAAGCAATGGGGATTCAGCACATCAAGTGCTTGTTCACCACGCTTTTGTATGAGGTTTTTCAAATCTCTTACCTCCCGAGTGATCTCCATCAATCTCTGCTGTCCAGTTACTGTCCTGACGCGGGTCTGGCCCATCTTCCTTCAGCATCCCGTTACTGTATGGCACTTTGCTGTCTTCAGGGAGCTTCGGGGTAGGAGGCTTTTCACTTGGTACCGAGCTCTGCTCAACAGAAGTGTCTTGGGCTGCAGATGTGCTCAGTAAGTCCGAATGCTGGCCTGATGTGACAGACAGTGTTGTGTTCTGCAGTGGGTCCTCTGCACTTGTAGCACCATCAGATGCACACATGCTGCACCCAGAGTCCTCCATAACCAAGTTTGACTTTCCCAGTGACCCTCCATGGCTTGCCACAGGAGTCCGATCAACTCCTTGTGACTCACCATGCACACAGTCCTTTACCTGACACTCTTTCGTGTCTCCCTGAACAGGGCTGGATAAACAGCTGTGTGTTAAACAGCTGGAGCATGTCACACGCTGATCACATTCCTCCACCTGCGTGGGTGTCAGCACCACAGCACTCTTAGCAGCAGCGCTCTCACCTCCTCCCACAGCTTCTGCTGCAAGCACCTGATCAGAAGGAACAGTGCTTGCCCTCTCCAGAGGCCTCTCGACTCGGCTGGCTGCAGCCTGGCAGATCCGACTGGACACATCACTTACAGAACCAGACAGCACTTCCTCAGTTGCTGCCAAAATGACCTTAGAAATGATCTGTATTGCTACTTGCTCAATTTTCTCAACTTCTTCCTTGTCCAGACTCACTCCTCCGATCCTCTCTCTTTCTAATTCATCTCCTTTGGGCTGCGTGTCCTCCTGACACACAGGTACAGTACTGCCACTCAACTCGGACATCTTTTCTTCCCTGGACTGCTCCAAACAGGCAGACTCTGAACTATCCGGTAACATCCTAATCGCGGAGTCCTGGTGACCTGATACAACTTCAACTTCATTATTGAGAAAGGCTTGTGGGGTATTGGCTTCCTCCTCCAATCCCAAGTGAAGGGCTGTCACACGGCCAGCATCCGATAGCACAATTTCTGGCATCTGGCTTTCCTTAGGGGGCTTAAACGAAGAATCATCTGACTGCTCTGCATTGCTGATCTCCTCCGTGGTTCCCAAAGACTCCTGCGTCAGTGTCACAGATGCCGATGGCTGCTGATCTTGGTTTGAACTAGAGCCTGAATCCTGTTCAGGGCTGACTGCAGCACTGCTGTGACACTTGGAGCTCTTTGAGACCAGAGGGAGAGAAACACAAGCAGGGACACTGCTTTCATCTTGAGATCCTAGTATTTCTAGTTTTTCACTGTCGTCCTTGACGGTGCTGGGCTGAGTTGTCGTTATTGCTGGGGCTGGAAGGTCCCGTGAGAAGTCTAACCCCTCGTGAGACTGATGCAGAAGAGAGGGTGTCATCGACCCTGCCGGCAGCAGGGAGGTCGAGGTCTCGTTCTCTGGGCGTTCCTCTTCTGAGGAGAGAGGCAGTCTTTGAGGAACACGTGCTTCTGTTTTGGGTGATGAATCATTCTCTGGCAGTTCTTTCTGCTGCTCTTCTGCAATGGCTACCACTTGTCTGTTATGATTGCTCGGATGCTTTTTTCTATAGGAATAGATCCACCAGCAGCCAAGAAGTGCCAGCACTCCAGGTATGGCGTACGGGAACAAAGTGCGAAAGCGCAAAGCCATTTTACAAAGCCTCAGCAATTAGACCTAGAAAGGGAAACAGAAAACTGGTATTAGAATAGTCACATGAAAGGTAACAGGAAGGCTAAAGTTTCATAAACGCCGTGAGCTATTTCTGTTAGCGTGGACAGGCTTCTTTTCCAGCCACTCTTCAAATTCACGTCTCTGCTCTATCAGCAGGCTGTGGAACAAGACCTTTCCCTAGCAGTAGGGATATTGGGACATTTCTCACCGGTACGTTTATCTTGGCAAGCAGCTTCACCTTGCCTCACCTTCGCAGGTCAGTACTACACACAAGGACAGCATCCAGCACTGCACACTCCTCCAGCAGCAGGCTGCACTCACAGCACAGCTGCACCACAAACATCCAAAAACTGACTTGATACACCGCAGGTCTCCCCGGTTCTCTGCCTGAAAGGCACATCATTCTCGAGAGTTTGTAGATGGACATCACACACACATCTCTTAAATACAGCAATTAGGTCAAGCTGAACTGCTCTGCAACCTTCTCATCTACAGTGTTGCAAGAGGGTGGTGCGTGGGCACAGGACTCAAGCCTGCAGTTCAGTAGGTACAGAACAGCAGTGTGCAGCTACTCTTTTTTTTTTTTTTACACACACAGTGAAGGCATTTCCAAACAGAGTGCCTGCAGCCTCATGAAGCAAGTGTCTCCCAATAACCAGAAGTCCTTCTAAAAGGTCTCGTACTTTCCAATGGAAAACCAACACACCTATCAGAAAAAATTCCTGTTTCCCCACCTAGCCATTACCACCACAGGATGGGTGTACATTGAAGACCAAGGAACATTAAGTCCAGTCAGAACTCGCATGCCCCTCCACGCCATACAGTAATCAATGGATTTGCAAGCTAAGCAGATGGGCAGTAAGATCAGTGTCAACGCGCCCATCTGCCTGCCGCTTGGTTTCTGGTAAAAGAACATAGCTATATAAAGGGAGTGCCACGGCAGTAAATCAGGTCACAGTGCTAAGAAAGGCAAGTTACCTCCCCTGGAAAGACGAACCCCCAAGCCAAGGGGTGTCACAAGACCAGCTGGATATGACCACATTGGACAACACAGAGAAGAGAGAGTTACTCTGCCCTGTTGCGGAAAGATGCCAGTGGATACCAGCAACAGTAGGCTCTGCAGGACCAGCTCCTGTGCACAGATGCCCAGGACATGTATGAAAGCTGATCTCAACGGTTTAGTGACAGATGAGGGACAAGATTTACAAGCTTTTATGCTGGCTACATGGACTGATATAACATGGGAAGGCCTGCAGTTTAAGATAGCTACAAAGACAGCAGCATGCCAAGGACTGGAGGAACATCCTTGTGCTTGCAGACATTGCTACCCAGGCCCTGAGAAGCACATAAAATGCCTGGCTAGTTAAAGTGTGTTCTGAAACAACCACAAAAAAAAACAAAACAAAACACATCTAACAGCAGCTTTTAGAGTCAGAAATGCAAGCGCAGTCAGTCACTGAGCCAGGAGGTAAGTGAAAGAGCTGGGCACTTGTAGGGCTGTCCAGCAGCCTTAGCAGTAGGTGCATGAGCCGAAAGCCAGGAACCAGGAACTCCAGAGGGGAGAAGAACTCGTACATTAGAATTCAAACCAGGCCAGGAAGAAACATCTGAGAAAACAGTTTCAGGTTACTTCAGTTTTCCTGCAGCTTTACACATCCAACACAGGCTTTGCTCTGTACTTCTCCACCTTCCCGTGAAGGTTTGTGTTCCTTCCTCAGCCTGACCGCTCCCAGGGAGCTTTCCCACCTCTTTTGCACAGGGAAGAGCCCTCACCCCTGCTGAACCCTGCCTGCTGCGGGGTGACCCCAGCAATGCTCCTCCACATCTGTCACCCCCCCACACCTCACCCAAAGCCCCCGCACAGAGCAGCTTACACTGGAGCATACCCGAGGCAGTGTCTTTAGCTTGCCAGGCCGTTCTGCATCGGGTGCACTGGTGTTTCAAAAGGCCAACACCACCCCCATGAGGCCCCCAGGCCTTCTGTGACTTGTAAGTCAGCAGGTGGGAGCTGCAGTGAAAGGTGCTGTTGGAAGGCAGTGGCGCCTGCCCCAGCAAACATCTGTCATCCACATTAAAAGGATCCCAACACTTCTTTTGTGAAGCTTTTTGAAGAGCTCCAAATGACAGAGGACCGAGGTTCAGTTTTTCCAGGAGAGAAGCACGACTTGCAGTCTGCTTAGTGAAGTGTTATTTCAGTTACTTCAATTTCACAACGCATTAGAGGAAAAACAAGCAAAGCAACTCCAAGTGCCTCTAACACCATGGGAACTGTGGCTGGGTTTAAGCTGCCAACAGCTTGCAGAAGCACACAGCTCCTGGTGCAGCACATTACGGGGGGCAGCAGGATGACCTTGAAGCTTGCTTATACTACTGAAGTGACAGCCGTCATACCATCACTAATGGACAGGCAAGAAGAGATAATTTAGTCAGGACTGCTCCAGCAAAGGACATCACTCACGATGTGCAGGTTTCATGCCAATTTCAGACAAGTACTGATAGATGAATAATCTCTTGCCTTTGAATGACTGAACTCCCAGCAACAAGGACCTCTTAATATTCAGTAGGTGATGCTGTGCTCCCAAACACAAGTTGGGAGCCTCAGCCTGCTGCACGTGCTTTGCAAAGATGCTGGGAATTTCGGGATCACCTATCCACACAGGGAGTGCCAGTGAAGGAACGCACCCTGACTGCTTCAGTGATGGCTCCTTCTAATCACGTTTCGAGCACAAAGCCAGGGAATGGTGCGAGACTGGGGTTGCACTTTCCGAGCACGCAGCCCTCCGGGCCCCGACGCACCACATCCTCCTCCAGTCGCTGCTCGCCGCCAGGAGTTGTGTTTATGCTACGACCAGAATCCAGGACACGGGCACACTTCTAACATGCTGAACAGAATCTCTCTTAATTGCAGTTTCAGCCTTTTCTTAAAAAGGGTTCTGTGGCTTTTTCAGGCACCAAAACAACTTAGGAGCATGCTTTCATGTCTATAAATAGACCAGAAAGCAAGATGGCACACTGTGCTTTGCCTCTTCTTTGCATTAGCATGCTGCTTGGATAAAGACAGACATCATTATGAATCAATTCCACCAAATTAGTGAGTGTCTAGGTCATTCCAGTGGCTCGTGCACTGCCTGTTCTCAGCTGGGTCAGGGCATTTGCGCCCCAGGTCCCTGCCGCTCCCTGAAGACGCTGCTGAGAAGGGACCACGACAGGGTTTGTCAGAGATGTAAGGCCGTGCCAGCTCCCTCCACAGCCCTGCCTGCTCCAGCACTTTCCTGCTTCTAGGCCCAGCTGGAAGTGCTCCCTGCCCAGCAGCACAAGGCACTTCAGCATTCCCAACAGGTTATGGCACGGGACCTGCAGGAGCGTGCACACTGCTTGGGCACCCTGGGCTGCTCCACTTCCAGTGCCACTGCAGATAAAGGATCCTTTTCTGCACTCAGGACTGAGGTTTGACCTCAGACCCCTGCTTTGGATAATCCTACTGCAAACTCTGCCCCTCCCAAAGGGCAGGAGAGCTCTGTGCACCTCAACTCAACAGCCAGCCAGCAGACTCTCAGCCAGCCAGGACTGGAGCTGCCCAGACACTGCACCGCCCTGCAGACTTGAAGGACAGCCCACAGCGAGCTGTTTCCAAGAGTGGTACGGATGGGAAATACACATAACAGCCTTGTAACAGTGACATTAGTCTAGGAAAAGCAGTCTCGATAGAGACACTACTTCAGCATGCAGCTCCAAAGTTTGGTCTATACTAAATTTACTAGGCTGGCAGCTGTTACTCATCTGACTTTCAAGAGGTGAAAGCTGCCTCTCTTACTGTAGAGCGCTTGCAAACCCTTCCCTGCCTGGATGCTGTTGGCACTCGCACCGCAGTCATGCTCCTCCATTTACAAGCCTCACCGAGCTACATGAGGCAGTGCTGACATGCCTTTCCTTAAGGAAAGCCTGCAGCTGGAACAGAGCTAAACATTTACCCACGTCCCCTGAACAGCCTTGCTGCAGAGTGCTTACAGTTTACATTTTCCCTGAGCAGGAATTAAAGCAAAACACAATGTGCCTGACGATGCTTACATACAACGGACTTTTCTCCAAACAGGCCTCGACTTTTGCCAATAAGCAGCAAAAATAAAGATTGTTTTCAGGAGATAGCAAAGTCATAGAAGTGGGAACCACCCACTGGAAAAAGAGTATTATCTAGTTCTTTTCTAAAAGCATAATATTTCTTAGACAAAAGAAGACAATCAAGTTAGTCTGTTGACTATGCTTAGTCTGCCGCCACCGGAAGAGACTTGTTATCAGAGCAAGTACTCTGACCACAGCTTCCAAATACATCTCTGCGCCGGGGCCCCAGTCTTCTCGAGGAGCTCCTCATGTTCTAGCTGGGTGACAAAAACATGCCTCCCTCGAGCTCAACCTGAGCATCCAGGTCTCAAATAATCCAATGTTTGCTGCAGATTTCTCACCTCTTCCTCCAGCCACACCTTTCCACCACAGGAGCAAACAGCTTTATCTGAGCTAGTTTGGATGCCAGCCTCACCTCCTCATCTCAGTTGTTAGGACTCGGCAGTGAGACAAGTAAATAATGAATATCCAAAATCATGACTAGAAAGTTTCTTGCTCAATCCCAAGTCAAAAGGTAGCTACAGACAATTTAAGAAATCCTGTAACATCTCTAGTACATCATGAATGAGTTATCAATGCTGTTCTATGCAGGCAGTTGGAGCCTGCATTCACTGGACAGTCCTATCAACATCCTTCACATGAGATACTTCCAGCTGGCTTTATACAGTCAGGTCTGAAGATAAGCTTTTGGTTAATGGCAGCTTCTGAATGCTTCCTCAAACAGATTTGACAGTGAGGGGGAAAGCAATACAAACCTGTACAATAATTTGGATTTAGTGTTTCATTTTTTTAATTTGAACTTGGTAATTAGAAAGGGTGAAGTCTGCGCACTGCTAAGACAAAAGGTTCACATTTATCCTCTACAGTACAATGGCACATTGTGA